AGTTTCCTCCCTCAGGAAGAGCCCTGGCAGCCCCAGGATGTGGGATGTGATGTTTGGAAGCTGACAACAAACCCCACCCAGAGTGGTGGAGACCGAGCCAGCCTGATGGTCTTCATTAGACAGCAAGGGGGGGCTGAGCACAGGTCCAAGGCCAGGAGCCAGGAGGGAAACCTGGTGTTGGAATTCAAATTGCAGCCTCAAGGGGGGATAAAAAAAGGGTTTCAAGGGCTGGTTTTAGGAAAAGGAAGCGGATGTTGTTAACAGCCAGTCCTCTGACACGAGCTGGGGGAAGCCAAGAGGCTCTGCCTCAAGGTCGTGAGCCACCCTGAAGCCCAGAGCCACCCTGAAGCCCAGAGCTTGAGGGAGCCTTGGGTGTCCTCCCTAAGGGAGGCACCCTCCTTCTTCAGCCCTTCAACAACCCACCTCCTTCTCCAACCATGGAGAACACCGTGGGGCCAAAGAGGGGCTGGTGGGATGGATCTTTTGGGGGATGAGGTTGGGCTTCCACCTCCAAGCAGCAAGGGGGATGTCCAAGAGCTCCTTGGTAGGACCTCGGGGGAGGTCCTCACCTCCCTGGGGTGGGTTTCTGACCACTCCTCTCCATCCCTTCCAGTCTCCAGGCCTCAGACGTCCCCCGAGGACCTGAAGGCGTTGATGGGGAACGTCAACAGCCTCAACCAGAGCTTCGGGGACATGCAGCTGAAGCTGCTGCACCTCCCTCTGAAGGGGAACGTGCTGGATCACGTCTGGAGGCTCCAGGACCTCCTGCAGAACCACTCAGACTCCTTGTTCCTCATGACGGGGTCGTTGCAGAAGCTGGAAGGGCTTCTCTGGAGCTTAGAGATCCAAGCTAGCCAAACTGACAAGGCCGTGGCCAACCTCTGGGACAGCTTGAACCAGCAGAACGACGCCACCCAGGAGGACATCTCCAAGCTCTCCGTGGAAGGCAACAGCAGCAAGCTGCTGCTGCAGCACCACAACCACCTCCTGAGCCACTTGGGCAGCAGGGTGGAGAGCTTGAGCGACCAAGTGATGACCTTGAGCGGGGCTTTGGACACCATGAACAGGAGCTTCTCCTACGACCTCCACGTCCACCACGGCCGCCTCAAGGACCTGCAAGGGCTGCTCAGCAACGCCAGCGAGGACGCCCGGCAGATGCGGCGGGTCCACGCCACCCTGGAGGAGCAGCTCAAGGAGGAGATGGCCACCCTCAGCAACATGACCAACGAGCTGCTGCTGTGGGCTTGGGAGAAGTCCTTCGTGCTGAAGAACATCTCCATGACGCGGGGTGAGCGGGGGAAAGGTCTTGGGAGTTGCTCTCTGGTTGGTGGGTGAAGGTGGGGTGAGGAGAAGGAGCGTCCTCCGTGGTTTGGGGGGTGGTGGAAATGGTCTTTGTGGCAGGGGGATGGGCTGTGGGGGTGTCTCTGGGTTCTCTGCAGGGTGGGAGATCCACCAAGAGCCGCCGTGTTTGGGGTCTGTGGCGTGGAGGTGGCTCCATCACCTTGGACACTCCCAATGTCCTTCAGGGATGGAGTGGTTGGGGTGGGAAGGGACTTTAAATGTCATCTAGTCCAACCTGCTCTGAGCAGGGAGGACCCAAACTAGAGCAGGGTGCTCAGAGCTCCATCCAACCTCCCCTGGGATGGTTCCAGGGATGGGGCAGCGACCACCTCTCTGGGCAGCCTGGGCCAGGGGCTCAACACCCTCAGCATGGTGACAGGAACAACCCAACCCTGCTAACTCCTGGCTATGGACCCCCCTTTTTTTTTGGGTTTGGGGTTTAGGTGGTTACCTCAGTGCTCCTCCCCTCAGTCCTCTAAGTGGCTGCTCCCTTCTTCTTAATCATCTGCAAGACCCAACCCTTCTTCACACCATCATCTCCTCTAGACTGGGGTGAAACATCTGCTTGGACGTTTCTCCCCCTTTGGTGTTGAGACTCTCCAGCTGTTTCACAGCCCCACAGCACTGGATCTCTGAGGACATCCTGGTGTCCAGGGGGAGCAGCTCAGGTGGAGATGCTTGGGCTGGAGAAACCCACGTCTGCTGTGGGTTTGATGGGACTGGGGAGCAGCAAGAGGAGAAGGTCCCTTTATGCTGCATCTTTGCTTCCAGGATCTTGGAGGATGAAAGAGGAGAAGGAGCCAAGGGAGCTGCACTCCTTGAGGGCACCTTGGGAAGGGTCAAGCTCCTCAGGAGCAGGGTGTGACAGGAGCATCTTCAGGAGTTATGGAGCAAGAGCAAGGGAGCAGTTGGGGAAGGGATGGGTCCAGGAGAGGCTCAGCCCCTTCCCACGTGCCACCTTCTCACCTGGCTGGAGCTCCTCGCTGCAGGAGGTGGTGGAGGCAGAACCCCAAGTGGGTCCAACAGGAGGTGGACACGTTCATCCCTGGCTGTTAAATGCCACGACCTGATCCCAATCCTGACCGGCCATGGGGAGGGTGAAGAACCATGGAGAAACAAAGAAGAGCCCAGGGGGAGGTCTGGGAGGCAGAAGGAGAGCCTGGGGGGGCCGTTGCTGTCCCACTTCCAGGCTGTTGGGTTGTCCCTGAAGGACACAAGGGGCTGTGGCTCATTCCTGGTGTTCCAGATGACCCAGCAGATGGGGAAGGAAGGGGCTGAGGTCAAGGCTCTTGTTGCCTCTGGCTGTCTGCTGAGCTGGGCCAACCACCACCCTTGGGGACCAGCAGCTCACTGGGGTCGTTGCCCTCATCCCTAGGGGATGGTGGCTCTCCATGCCCAGTTGGGGGCTGCTGGGACCCACCACTTTGAGGTTATCAGAGCTGCCCACCCCTCAACCCACCCCTGCTGTCCTCTCTTCCCTCCCACTGCCGTGGGGAGGTTGTCACCTGCTCCTGGATGAAGCCACCAAGGAAGGAGACAGTCATGGAGCCCAACACCCCCGTGAACACAAGGAACACCAGCAGAAAGCAAAACAAATCCCCTCCCAAGGGGCCAGGACCTGATTTATCCACCCCTGACACGTTCCTGGCGTCTCCAGCTTCCCTCTTCTCCCCATCCCTCCTCCTTCCTTGCTTTCTGTCAGCAGCTCCACGCCTCAGGGAGAATTTTAGGAGCTTTGTGCCCAGCTGGCTTCACACCAGCTCCCCCAATGTCCTCTGCTGAAGCCACCCCAGGCTCCCAGCTGGGTCTGCACCACCCGCTGAGGGGGGTTTTCATTCCCCTCGAGGCCTGACCCACCCCAAGCTGGGGCTGTGGAGGCTGTTTGCTGGTGATGACAGCTCGGGGAGGTCCTCAGGCTCCTCTCCAGCAGCCGACCAAGCCAAGCAGCTCAGGGAGGGTTGGACCTCGCTGCTCAGAGGGGCTCCAGCTCTTCAAGAACGACGGGAGGACGCCTGAGATCCACCACCCTCCTTGCCCGCTCCCTGGGTGGGATGTGTTGGCTCCAAGAGGGTCTGCTGGGGGGATCAGGAGGGTCCCATCCTGCCAGCAGATCCGGGCACGTCACAGCAGCCCTCAGCCCCAGGGTTTGGGAGGGGTTTGCTCCTCCTTGGGCAGGCAGGAGGGGTGTCCAAGCTGGGGTGTCCCCTCCTGAGCGTGACCCCCAGAGGCTGTGGGGTGGGGACCAGCTTGGCACGGTGCCTGCAGGGGTGCTGGGCCTCTCCCAGCCACCCCCTCCCACAATTCCTCCCCTCCCAGCTGCTCCTCGGGTCCCATCCCACCAGCTGTCCCCGGGGAGGATGGTCTGGGAGGAGATGTTCTGCTGGTTGAGGGACCTCATTGCTGGGGGGGCAGCTTTGAAGGGTGAAGGGTAAAAGCTGAGGAGACCAAACAGGCTCAGCCTGATCATCTGCCCACCCCCAGGGGTTAGGGAAAGGGGATAAGGGACAACACATCTCTTCTCTGGTTCTGTTGGGTCTCCAGCTCTTACAGAGCAGGTGGGATCATCTGTTGCCCATGGTCAACCTCCATGAAACTCCATTTCCCTCTTAGCCTGTCCATGTCCTTGACCCATGGTATGATTTGGTGGGTTGGGAGGATGAGATGATGATGAGATGAGATGATGATGAGATGAGATGAGATGATGGTGGCAGAGGCTTGGGAGGCAGCTGATTTGAAGGAGGAAGAGCAGCTCCAACTCCCATCCCACTGAGAGGTGCCTTCAGTTGGCAGCTCCCACGTCCCTCCCGGGGTTAACAGAACGGAGGTGGGACCCTCCTGTGGGTTATTTCCCCCTAAAACCAGAGCAGATGGATGTTGTTGGAGCTGCCTGGGCCCAGGGGACCTCAGCCAAGCCAGGCTGGAGCTGGCGTGGGCAGAGCAGGACGTTCTACATCAGCAGCTTTGCTCCAGGGCCACTGGGGTGGGGCCTCTTCCCTTTGGAGAGGATGCTTGGGGCAAAGCCAGGGTGACTTTAGGAAACCTTTCCTCGGTGGCTCCTACCACAGATGTTTCCAGGGTTGCTTCTACCCTTCATCACTTCAGCACCTTTATTTTAATACGTTCTCCATCAGTTCTTTACTTCAGAAGGGTCTCATGGGGCAACCTAAACACCCCCATGTCAGCCCAATCCAACAACCCAGCTTGACTCAACCTCCCTCTGGCTCCTTTGGGGCACTGAAGCCCAAGGGCTGTGATTAACATCATCTACCCAACTGGGTCTTCCTTTGGGGGCATCTCTGTGCCAGGCCAGGCTGAGAGCCCTGGGGCTGCTGAGCTGGAGAAGAGAAGCCTCAGAGGGGATCTGAGCAGTGCTGAGCAAGAGCTAAAGGGCCCCGGGGGGCAAGAGGCTGGGGCCAGACTCTGCTCAGTGGTGCCAGGGACAGGACAAGGGGCAACAGGCACCAACTGGAACCCAGGAGGTGCCACCTGAGCAGGAGGAGAAACTTCTCTGCTGGGAGGGTGGCAGAGCCTGGCCCAGGCTGCCCAGAGAGGTTGTGGAGTCTCCTGCCTGGCTCCTGCCTTACGTCCCCCCTGTGATGGAGCTCTTGAACGTTGCTGGAGCCAATCCTGCCTCTCCTCGGGTAGACAGTGTCCCTGCTGCTTGTGGCTCCTCTTCTTCCCACCCCAAAAACGCCTCCTCATTGTACCCAGCTCTCCTGGGTGTCCATTGTTCTTTGCCTCCTTTTGTTTGGCCAAGGGGAGACGTGTTCCCAGGGTCTAAGGTCCATCCCCACGTCCTCTCAGTGCCTGGAGATGTTTATCATCTAGAGAAGAGGAAACCCAGGGCAAATTACTGAGATATCTCCCATAGTCCTCTCCTTGGGATGCTTGGGGCGTTTCCTGAGCTTCCTGCAGCCCATCTCTTCAGGAAAACCATATTTACTGTAGACTATCTGCAGATTCTTGAGACTCCTCAGTCCTTGGGGCTGCTGAACATCCCCTCTTGATCCTTCCCCATCACCACGTTGCCTGGAGACCCAGCTGAGGGTTTGGATTATGGTTTTTGGGGGTTTCTAGGAAAACAGTGTTGAACAGTTCCCCATTAACACCCTTGGCTCAGCAGGACAAAGCCCAAACGTCCCCTCCAGGCCTCTCTCCACCCTGTTTTCCATCATCCCATGAGTCATTTTTCAGCGTTGGGGTGGGTTTTTTTTCCTGTTGAAAGCCTTTCTTCCCAGGGGTTTAGCTCCTAATTGATTTCAGCTTGGAGAACTTGGCCTCTTGCCCGCTGAGGAACATCAATCCTGTTCCTGGGTTGGGCTTCTGCTCGCTCACGAGAGCGTTCACCACAAAAACATCCACCCCTGGGCAGCTCCTGAGGAGGCCAGTGACGTAAATCCCCCCTCCCCTAAAGGTTCATCTCCATAGATCCAAAGTTCTTCCCTTTCCTTTCTTTTTTTATTGTTTTCTTCACATGATTTCTTTGGAGATGTCTCAACTTTTGGTCTCAGCTTTAGCCTGGAATTTCCCACCGAGTCATGCTCGAGGTGGAAGCTCAGGAGCTCCAGGG